CTTCCATGACGTCGATCAGCGCGATGAGCGCGTCCTCGCTCAGGCGCGCGCCGTGCTGGAAGTAGAGCTCCGCGACGGCTTGCATCGCGAGACGTTGCGTCGACGCGAACGCGCGCGCGTCTGCCATCGCGCGCCCCCACGCGACGGGGTGCGCGCCGAGCCGCGCGCCCGCCTCCCTCGCGAGCGCGTCCTCGTCAAAGGAGAAACCGGGAGGACCTTCTCTTTCGGTGGCGTCGGTTGACGTTTCGTCTTCCTCGTCCTCCTCGACCGAGCATCGCGCCGCGAGCGCCGCGACGTCCGGTCGCGTCGCGTCCGCGACGGACCGCAACGCGTCCACCGCCAGTCCCCACGCCGCGTCGTCGAAGACCCCCCCCGCGGAGAGCAACAGCCGAGACAGCGCGCCGACGCCGCACGCCGCGAGTGGCTCGTGCGCTCTCGTGGACAGCGACACGAGAAGCGCGAGCAGCCGCGGGAAGACGTCCGGGGTGGACGTGACGGGGACGTAAAACTTCACCGTGAGGTCGACGACGAGCTCGAGACAGTGCTGGCAGGTTTGGTACAGCCACGCGTCGACGGAGGCGACGCCGCGCGCGGCGCGTCGAGGCGTCAAAGCGTCCGACGATCCTGATCCGTCTGTTGTCCCGGGCTCGGCGATGGCGCTCGCCTCGTCGTCCCCGAGCTCCGCGCGGACGCTGTCGAAGATCGGAAGGAGGATGCTGTCGTACACCCTCGCCCAAAACGTCGCCGAAAAGTGATCGCCGTGGAACGCGAGCACGTCGAATAACACTTTCAACGACGTCGCGCGAATGTCTTCCCTCGGGTCGAACGTCAGCTCGCTCAGGCCCGCGAGCAGAGGGAACCAGAAGAAGACGTGGACTTCGTCGTCGGTGAAGCACGTCGCGCCCTTCGCGCGCGGCGTCGGTTTACGCTCGGGGCTCTTCGGCGGCGTCTTCTGCTTCTTCTTCCCTTCGCCGCCGCCGCCGGTCGGCGGCTTCGACCCATCCTCCTCCTCCTCCTCCTCGTTCTCCGGTTCCGTGGGTGGCTTGTCGAGCTCGCCCAACGACCCGTCCGCGAGTTTCAGCGCGCAGAACCGCAAAAACGCGATCGCGTTTAACGCCACCTCAGGCGCGCAGTCTCCGTTCGTGAAGGCGATGAGGCAGTTAACGCAATCCGTAAACGTCGTCGCGTCCGTCTCCGTGATGTGCTGAAAGTGTTCTCTGATGATCAGCTCGATCGTCTCGAACGCGAGGGTGACGATGCCGCTCTCCTCGTCGTTCGCCGCGGTCGTGAAACACATGAACACGGACTTCCACCCGCTCTTGATGTTCCCGACCCTCCCGAGCACCATCTGCGACATGCAGCGAATGACGAGCTCGCGGACGCGCGCGTTGGGCGACTGCCGCATGACGACGACGAACGGCCGAAGGAAATCGTTCTGGAACGAGTAGTTCGAGAGCTCGCCGCGGTCGAGAAACTTCATCGCGAGCTGTCGCAGGGAGTCGACGACGTACATCGCCACCTGGAGGTTGTGGTGGCATCCGGACTTGGTGAAAAAGTCCGCGAGCGACGGCCACATCTTGCTCCACGTCATCCGGACGCGCGTCATGTTCAAGTGCGAAATTTCCACGAGCTTCGTCAGCGAAAACACCCGCGGATGCCTCGCCGCGGTCTCTTCCAACGACACCTCGCAGAGCGACCGCGCGAACGCGACGATGGCCTCGCCGTCGAGCTGGTCCGTGCACTGAAACACGCGCGCGAGCTCGTCCGGGTGGAGTTCCCTCAAGACGTGCGCCGGCGGCGGGTCGATGTCCAGCTCGTGAAGGAACAGACGCGGGTCCGTCTCGTCGTCCGTACCCGCCGCCGGGGTCGTGGGGAGGGACCCGGGCGTCCCGGGCGCGTTCGCGCCGGTCGCGGCGGTCGTGGGTCCGGGACCCTCGGTCGTCGAGGTCTTGACCGGCGTCACCGCGGCGGGCGCCCCGGAGGGCTTCGACTTGGGTTTCAAATGCGCGAACGGGGACTCGTCCGCGGCGGCGGCGGAGGCGCCGAACATGGACGCCATCGTCGGCAGCGCGGGCATGGACATCGCGGCGGGAGGCGGCGGCGGCGACGGCTTCGCGGGGGACTGCCGCGCCTCTTTCGCCTTCGCCGCGGCCGCGTCCTTCGCGGCTTTGTTGCTCCCGCCGCCGACGCGGCGGAAGAGTCGTTTTTTCCCGCCCCCGCCCTCCGCGCCGCCGCCGCTGCCGTCCCCGTTCGATCCCGCGTCAGCAGCCTTCTCCTCCCCGAACAAGCTCGCGTCGTCGTACCCCATCGCGAGTGAGTACAGGTGGTCGTACCTCGACACCACCTGCAACACGTGCCTCCACGCGTCGCCCAGCGCGTCGCCGTCCTGAACGCCCACCTCCACCAACGCGCGCACGGCGGCGACGTTTTTCGTCCGCATGTTCGACGGCGAGTGCAACGACGTGAGCTTCGCGAGCGGGGTTATGAACGCGTCTCTGGTGGACTCCATTCCCATCGCCGCGGTGAGGTGGATCGCGCGCTGGAACCCGAGGAGGGAGGTTTGAACGACGGAGGGCGCCTCCGTGGCTTCGAAGGACATGGAGAACACCGCGAGCATCGCGGGCCACGCCACCTCGAGCATCGGCCGCACGCACGCCGGGTTGGACGCGCTCTGGAACCCGCCGTTCTCTCTCCGCGCGCGGTTCCGGACCTCTTCCATGATTTGCGCGGTGTCGACGATGTCGACGACTTTTTTGCCGCTCACCAGGGACATCAAGACGTCCATGCCGAGGCGGTTGCTCATGTCCTTCATCGCCCTCGTCATCGTGCTGCCGCTGCCCTTCTCGTTCGCCTCCGCCTTGGCCGCGATCGCGGCCGGGTCGTCGTCCTTCATTCGTATCTCGTTCGTCACAATGCGCTTGTACAGCTCCGTGAGGTGCTCCGCGGGGACGTCCGCGCCGTCGTCGATCCCGCGGTTATTCCGCAGGAAACCCTCGAGCGTCATCTTATTCTTGACTTGCGGGTTGTGCGCGTCCGTGTTTAACATGATCACGCTGAACGACAGCACGTACGCGGTGTCCGCGTTCTTGTACGCCCCAGGGTTCTGCTTGCAGTACCGCTCCGCGAACTTCTCCATCAGACGGTCGATCTTTTGCGACTCCCCGGGGAGGCGGAACCCCTCCAAAAATTTCCGAATCGCCTCGTCCAGCGTCTGCGCCGTGAAATCCATGGCGTCCACGTACGCGTGCATCACGCTCAGCATCGGCTCTTCACGCTCGCCGAGGTAGTCGCCTATGATGGTCTTGTCCAGCCCTTGCGAGTCCCTCAAGAACGCGGCGATCTCTTCGGGGGTCTCGCCGAGGCGTCCCAGCGATTGCATCATCGCGACGCCTTTTTTCGGTTTTTTGTTGAAGAGCGCCACCGCCTGCTGGTACTCCATCTTGCTCGCTTTCAGCTGCTCGATATCCTCCGGAGTAACCGTCGACGTCGTGGCGTTATCATCATCCCCACCCCCACCCCGGTGCATCTCGTCCAGGGCGCCGCCGCTCGCGGACGCCGACGCCGCCGACGCCATCGCCTTGGCCTTGGCCGCCGCGTCTCTCCTCTCCCCCGTGCCCAGCTGCACGTCGATCCACTCGCCGAGCGCGCCGAGCATCCCGCTCAGGCACTCCAACGCCTCCGCTTTCAACACCGCCTCTCTCGCGGCCTCGTTCCCGGTGAGCTCGTTCACGCCGGGGAGCCCCTGCGCGACGCGCACGAGCGCGTTGACGAGCCGTTCGAAGAGGTTCGACGCGTCTGAGGGGCGTTCCGTACGAAGAATAGTTCATGGGTCAGTTGAAAGGGGACGCGATCAACGTTGAAACCGGGCGATGGGTGAATCACGTGTGCATACGGTAGAACGCACCGAGGTCGCAGTCGAAGTTGACGAAGAGGTCCACGAGCAGCCGCGCGTCGCCGCAGAGTTTGTTTAGGCACGACAGCAAGACGGCGCGCTGCGGGTACGGCGCGAGCGGGGACCCGTGGACGACCTCCAGCGGCTTGAGCATCAGCATCGGGAAGAAGAAGCCAATCTCGGACTTGAGCGAGACGCGGAAGCGTCGAAGCAACGTGAGGAAAATCGAGAGCGAGAGCTGATACGCCGTCGGCACGGAGGGCGCCGCGTTGGTCGCGACCGCGTCGAGGAGGTACTCCTTCGTCGCCTCGACGCACCGCTCGGAGGCGTAGAACCTCGGCCCGGCGTTCTCGAGGAGTATCTTGAGGAGCTCCAGCGACAGCGTCTTCCCGCGGACGACGGAGACGTTCGCGAGGTCGCCCGACTTTTTCGCCAGCTTGCACAGCGCGCGAAACACGAGAAACGCGTCTGACTCGAGCGCAAAACTCTCATCCGTCCGCGCCGCGAGGCCGAGGCCGAGGCCGAGGCCTCCTCCTCCTCCTCTTCGCGACGACGACGACGACGCGTTCGATAAGGAACGCTTTAACGGCGTCCCCGCGGACGTTCCGTCTCCGTCCTCCGCCGCGTCCGCGTCGTCGTCGAACTCCCCTCCCTCGGTCATCTCGCGCTCCGCCGCCGCCGCCGCCGTCGCCGCCGCGTCCGGCCCCCCGAACGTCGTCAACGTCACCGTGTTCATGTCCGCGATGACCTTCCCCACGAACGACTGCACGAAGTTCACCATCTCCTGGACGCCGTCGCCGTCGCTCGGCTTTGATTTCTCGGACGGCCGCAGAAGGTCCGCGACGACGATCGCCGGCGCCGACGCCTCGCTCGAGCCAGCCTCCAGGCGATGAAAAACAACCGTGAGCATCTGCGTCAACGACGCTTTCGCCGTGCTCTGATTCACCTCGGACTTGCTCCCGAGGAAGACGTTGTAGCACGTCCGCACGACGCGCAGCAGCGCGCGGCCGTGGACGCGGAACGTCTTCGACGACACCGCGGTGAGGAGGCACTTCAGGACGTGGAGCTCGACGGATTCGTCGATGATCTCGCTGGCGCGGCAGACGAGGTCGACGATCTCGCCGGCGAGGAGCCTCGAGGACGGCGGCGGAATAGGCGGCGCGGCGTCTGGCGGCGGTGGCGGCGGCGTCGGCGTCTCCGCCGGCGGCGCGTCCTCCGCGGTCGTCGTCGTCGTCGCGGCCGCGGCGGCGACCGACGACGACTTCTCCTCCTTCTCCTTCGCGTCCGCCTTCTCGTCGACGGCGGCCGTCGCCGCTCCCGCCGCCGCTCCCGCCGCTCCCGCCGCCGAAACGGTCTCCTCCCCCCCCGGGAGCTCGTCCGCGTCGCCTCTCAGCAGCCCGAACGCGATCAGCTTCTGTATCGCGGCGATCGCTTCGACGACCATCTTCGGCGCGCGGCTCTCGAACGCCAACCGCAGCGGGACGCACAGGCGCGCGGTCTGCGCGTCTCCGAGGCTCCCGACGCTCGGACCGCCGCCCAGGGTCGCCGCCGCGGTGGACGCGCCGGGGTGCGCCGGCGATGGCGACGCCGCCGACGCCTTGGAGGGCGTCGTCGGCGGCGTCGGCGTCGGCGTCTGCACGACGAACGCGTCGCCGTCGGCGATGGAGGCGACGAGATCTCGCACGGACGACGCGAGGTCCGCGTGGCGCTTCCCCGAACTCGCGACCGCGAGGATCTTCTCTAGGTTCTCCTTCACGACGTCGCCGGCGTTAACCCAGGGCGTCGCCGCGGAGGGCGTCGCCGCGGCGGACGGCGTCGCCGTCATCGCCGTCATCGCGCGTCGGCCCGGCGCCTCGGGCGCGACGTTTTAAACCGAGGCGTTCGCGACTCTCACGCTTCGTCTCGCGAAAATAATCAGATCAGATCGTCGCTCCCGACGATCAGTCGTCGCCGCGCGCGCCCCCGTCGCGTCGTCGCGCGGTCGCGCGGTAGGTCGCACGTCGCGATGGTCGGCCTCGCGACGTTCACGATCGTCTCCAACGCGGACGTCCCGCTGTACGAGGCGAACCTGGGTCAGACCCCGAAGCGGGAGGACGCGGCGCACCTCCAGGAGTTCGTCGCGCACGCCGCGCTCGACGTCGTCGACGAGCGGCGATGGGAGACGCCGCAGACGAACCTCAAGCTCGTGGACCGGTTCAACGATCTGCTCGTGTACGCGCACGTCACCGCGGGGGGGACGCGGTTCGTGCTCTTGCACGACGCGCGGAACGAGGAGAGCGTGCGCGCGTTCTTCGCGGAAGCGCACGAGCTCTACGTCAAGGCGGCGTTGAATCCGTTCCACGACGCGGACTCGCCCATCGAGTGCGCCGCGTTCGACGACCGCGTCAGGGCGCTGGGACGGAAATACTTTCCGTAACGCGACGGCTGGGAGGACCATACTGTATCATAACGGACAAAACGGGAGCGTTTCGTTTCGTTTGTAATAGGAGTTAGACTAGCGTAGACGACAGACGCGGACACGTCGCGCTCACACGGCGTCGTCCCCGCCGCCGCCCCCCGCCGCCGCCGCCGCCGCCGCCGCCGCCGCCTTTCTCTTCGCCTCCAGACGCTCCGCCAACGCCTTCGCCCCGCGCTCCCGCCGCCTCTGCGCCTCCTCCGCGTCGTTCGTCGTGACGCCCGCGCGCCCGCCGTTCCTGCGCGTCGCGATCGGCGGCGCGCCGCGAGCGTCGCCCTCCGTTCGGGACCCGCCGCTCCCGCGGCTGAGGGCCGTTCCATACAAAGCGATGTCGGGGTGGAGTTCAAAGGCGTCAGTTGGAGTTGAAAGGCGTCGAGGACGGGGATTGAAAGCGAGGGGTGGGCGGAGAGAAGCGCCGGGCAAAGTCCTTAAGGATCGGCGTTCACCACGCCAACGCGGTCGTATGGGACCAGTGTATAGAACGCGCCTGAATACGCTCGCGGCGACGTCCTGCGATTCGATTCGAACGGTCGTGGGAAGACGCGCGTCAGTCACGCGTGCATGGTATCGGTGGATATCGTTCCCACGTGTCAGAACGTGAGGTTCACAGCGCGCGCGCGAAAGAAGAGAAGTCCTGAAGCGAAGACAGGACGGACGATCGACGCGCGAACGTATGGAGCGCGCGTACGGGGAGCAGTCGCGGTTTGTCTCACCGCGAGCGGCTGGACGAATTGCCGCGCCGGCGCCGGGAAGAACGTCGCGAACGCGAACGCGTCGCTGCCGTCGCCCCTCGCGCCGCCGCCGCCGCCGTCTCTGGACGGCTGATAAAACCGCAAGTACAGCCACGCGGCGTACCACCCGAAGAGCGAGAACCCGAATCGACCGAGGACGTCGCCGACGACCGCGCCCCCCGCCAGCGTCGCGAGCAAAAACAAAAACGGAAGCTGATTGCACGTCAGCCGACGCAGCCCCTTCACCGCGACGGGCGCGTCCGGCATCTTCTGCTTGACCGCGACGAGTGACGCGGCGACGAGGCCTTGATGCCCGCACAGGCGGCGGTGCATCGCGCCGACGTCGCGCGTCGATCGCACGAGCGCGGCGAAGGACGCGAGGACGCCGACGACGAGCGTGACGACCAGATGCAGCTTGGCGTGCTCGCGCGCGCCGAGGTGAGGCTCCACGACGCGCCCGAGCGCGACCGCGAGGAGCGTGAATGTCGCGAACGCCGGCGCGCTCGTCTCCGTCCACGACGCGGTGAACGGGTTCCAGGGCGCGCCGGGGAGCGTCTTCGACGGCACGAGCGCGAGGCGATCGACCCAGAGCGGGTCCGCTGAGGGCCATTCCGTACAAGCGAACGTCGGGGTGGAGTTCAAAGGCGTCAGAAGCGGAGTTGAAAGGCGTCGAGGACGGGGATTGAAAGCGAGGGACCCTGGGCGGAGAGAGACGACGGCAAAAGTCCTTAAGGATCGGCGTTCACCACGGCGACGGGGTCGTATGGGAACCAGTGTATAGAACGCGCCTGAGACGAGGAGGAAGACGGCGATCAGCGCGGCCGCGACGACGCGCGTGAACGGCGGCAGCGACGCCTTCGACCTGAGCGTTCCCGCGAGCGTGCCGAGGCGTTGGCGGATCCCGGGGCGCGGCGGCGGCGGCGCCGCGGGTTCGATCTCGCTCATCGCCGCGGGAGGACGGACGGAGGTGGCGCGCGAGCGATGTGACTGATGAGAGCGCGAGAGTCGAACGCTCGCGCTCTCTCACTGGGCGATTCCATTGAAACACGTTCATCGGTCAGTTGAAAGGGTACGCGATCAAATGTTCAAACTGTGGGGTGGGTGAAAAACGTTTGTCTAGCTTCAACGCACCTGACGAGGATCGACGAAACTTTTTTTGGCGAACGGAACGAGCGCGTCGGCGCCCCTCCGCGACCACACAGAGCGCCATGCGCGGACGGTCGGCGCTCGTCGCGCTCCTCGCGCTCCTCGCGCTCCTCGCAAGCCCGGGGACGAGCGTCGCCGCCGCGCCGAGCGGCGGCGTCCGAACGTCCGCGGCGCGACGTTGGCTCCAGAAGCGCGGGGGGGCGATCGACGACGCAATTGTTATTCCTTTCGACGACGCGGCGCATCACGCGCTCGACGACGACGTCGACGCGCGCGCGGCGGAGTGGAAGAAGAACCACACCGCGCCGCCGCCGTCGCCTCTCGCGCCGCCCGCGAAGAACCCCTCCGACGGCCCCGTGGGCGCGCGCGTGGAGACGTGCAAGCCGAGGGCGGTCGCGAAGGCGAAGCGGTGCCACTACGTCCGGCACAACCCCGCGTGCTCCAAGGACGAGAACATCGTGCCCTACCTCACGATCCACTACTGCCACATGCGTCGCCTCGCGACGCTGAGCACGGCGTTGCAGCTATCGCTCGCGGTGTTCTTCATCTCCGTCATGGCGATCGTCGCCGAGCGGTTCTTCGTGCCGTCGCTGGAGAACGTGTCGAGGGCGCTGCGGCTGCCCGAGGACGTCGCGGGCGCGACGGCGCGTTCTGTACACTGGTCCCCATACGACCGCGTCGGCGTGGTGAACGCCGATCCTTAAGGACTTTTCCCGGCGCATCTCTCCGCCCACCCCTCGCTTTCAATCCCCGCCCTCGACGCCTTTCAACTCCATCTGACGCCTTTGAATTCCACCCCGACGTTCGCTCGTATGGAATCGCGCAGGTGCTGTCGTTCGGGAACGGCGCGCCCGACGTCTTCACGCAGGTGGCTGCGTTTAAGGGCGCGGACGCGGAGGGCGTGTCGTTGGCGCTCGGCGCGGTGTTCGGCGCGGGGTTCTACGTCTGCGCGGTCGTCCTTCCCGCGGTGGTTTTGTTGACGGGGAAGAAGCCGGAGGCGAAGTCTCCGTCGACGATCGCGGCGGCGACGCGCGGGAAAGGGATCAGGCGGGGGTTGTTAGGCGGCGGCGGCGACGACGACGACGACGCGAGCGATGCGTACGATGACGACGACGACGACGAAACCGACGAAACCGATGAAACGCTGACGCTAACGCGCCGGCGTGGTGCGTTTCACCGCATCGCCGAATGCATGTCCCTGAACCACGGCGTCGACGTCGGCAAAGCCGCCTTCACCAGGGACGTCGGATTTTACGGCGCCGCCGTCGCGACGACGTTTGGAATATTCCTCGCCGGCGACGTCAACGCCCCGCACGCGATCGCTCTCGGGTCGATGTACGCGGCGTACCTCATCGCGCTGCTCGCGCCCGCGCGCGTGCGCGCGATGCTGCGCGGGTTGGGGTGGGGGGTCGCCCCCGGCGCGGCGGCGGCGTTTTCGGCGGAGGACGATCTCGCGGCGGCGGCGGACGGCGAGGGGCTGACGGCCGGGCTGCTGGACGCGGACGAATCGTTCGAGGACGGGTACGCCGCGCTCATCGAGGACGGGACCGGGGTCGGGGGCGCGCCGAACGTCCGGTGGGGCGGCGGCGGCGCCGGGTCGACGAACGGCGGCGCGGGGATCGACGAGAACGGCGCGTTCTCCTTACACTGGTTCCCATACGACCGCGTTGGCATGGTGAACGTCGATCCTTAAGGACTCTTCCCGGCGTCTATCTCCGCCCACCCATCGCTTTCAACGCCCGTCCTCGACGCCTTTCAACTCCACCTGACGCCTTTCAACTCCACCCCGACATCGCTTTGTATGGAACGGCGAAGACGCCGCCGGCGGAGGCGGAGGCGGCGTCGCCGCGCCCCCCCAAACAACGCTCAGCCCGTCGCGGATGCTCCGCAAGACGCTCTCCGCGCTCGCGGCGATCGTTAACGCGCCGACGTTGTTCGCGCTGCGATGCACGATGCCAGAGCTCAACGCGGACGCGTCGCGGCAGTCGCGCGTCCTCGTCTCCGGTGCGTTCTCTACAAACGTTTTTCACCCATCGCCCGGTTTCAACATTTGATCGCTTCTCTTTTCAACTGACCGATGAACATTTTTTGTATGGCATGTCCCTCAGCGCTCCCCGTCACGGCGCCGCTTTTTTTCATCGCCGCGGAGCGTTTCCTCCCGAACGACGTCAACCCCGCGGGGGCGATATACGGCGCCGCGTGCGGCGCGTTGGGCGCCGTCGCGCTCTACGCCGCCTGGCCGACGCTCATTGGCCCGGACGCGCCGAGAGCGGCGGTGCGAGCGATGACGGCGGCGCTCACGATCGTCGCCTTCGCGCAGTCCATCACTTGGATGGACGTCGTCGCCGGCGAGATCGTCGCCCTCCTCGCCGCGGTCGGGACGATCAACGGTCTATCCGAGAGCCTCCTCGGCGCGACCGTCCTCGCGTGGGGAATATCTATAGGCGATCTAGTCAGCAACGTCACCGTGGCGAAGGAGGGGCACCCGAGGATGGCCGTCGCCGCGTGCGTCGGAGGGCCGATGTTTAACGTTCTCGTGGGTCTGTCCCTCGGGATGTTCTCGAACGTCTCGAAGAGCGGGCGTCCGCTGCGGCACTTCAAGCTGCACAACGACGTCATCGTGCTCGTGGCGTCGCTGTTGATCGCGCTCGTCTATTTGTTCTTGAGCGTGGTCGTGGTCAACAGAGGTCGAATCACGCGAGCGACGGCGCTGGGGGTTTTATTTTTCTACGCCGGAACGCAAGCGGTGTACGTGCTCACGTCCATGGACATGATATTCAAGACGCCGTGGCTGCGTTAGGGTCGGTTCCGCCGGAATGCGGTAGTAGACGGCACGAGGTGCGCGGTCGGTATTTAATTAGTCACACGTATTGTCGTAGAACAGAGAAGAGAATAACTTACAGCAGAGTACCTCACGACGCCCGCGCGACTTCGAGGGCTTTTTCGAGCGTCCCGAACGCGCGTCGCAGCGCGACCGCGGCTTCCTCCTCGCTCGCGGGCTGCGTCACGCCCTTAAACAGCTTGTGCCAGTGTCGCTTCCGCTGGTTGATGAACCAGTTGTTGATCTGCGTCGCGCTGAGGTTGGTAGACTTTGACAGCGCGCGCTTGTCGTCTTCGGACGGATACGGCCATACGACGTTGTCGCTCCACCATTTTTTCAGCGCCTCCGTGGCGTCCGTCGGGAGCTTGCCTTTCTTCCTCTTGCGGAGGAACTCGTCTCGAAGGGACGATATCGACGTCGCGTACTTCCGCTTGAGAGACTTGCGCAGGTCGTCCTCTCGCGTGTCCACGTGCTTTGCGGTGAGAGACGGACCCGCGGCGGCGGCGGCGTCGGGGGCGGCTGGTGGTTTTTTCGATCCCCCCCCCGCGGCGGCGGCGGCGGCGGCGGCGGCGGCGGCGGCGGCGCGTTTCCTCTGCTTCCTCACCCACGCGCTCGCGTCCGTGGACTCGTCGTCGTCGTCGTCGTCGTCGTCGTCTCCGAACTCGTCCTCGTCGTCGTAGACCGTGTCGTCGTCGACTCCCCTCGCGGCGTCGGCCGGCGTGCCTCCTCCTCCTCCTCTCTCGCGGGCTCTCTCGTCGTCGATTTTAATTTTCGCCGCGGAGGCGGTGATCGTAGCGACGCGTCGTTCAAACTCCGCGCACGCGTCCTCGCTCTCCCGCGCGATGGCGTTCAACTCCACGGAATACGCTCTCAACTCCGCGGTGCATCGCGCGATGAAGTCGTCCATCTCCTCGCCGCCCTGGCCGTGCGTGTGCGCGTCGAAGAAACCGGACGCGTTCTGCGCGTTTTCTTCTCGCCGGACGCGCGCGTCTTCGAGGAGCGCGTCTCTCCGCCGCCGCAGCGCGAGCTCCGTCGCGCGGTCCGCGCCCGCGCTTCGGCACGCGAAGTACGCGCGAAGAAGCGCGGGGTACATCGTGTGGACGCGCATCGCGTCGCGGACGGCGGCGGCCTCCGCGGCGGCGGCGACTGGTATCGGCGGGGTTTCAGTTTCTCCGTCTTCTGAGACTCTTCCCGGGCTTTCGTGGGGTGGAGTTCAAAGGCGTCAGGTGGAGTTGAAAGGCGCCGAGGTCGGGGATTGAAAGCGAGGGGTGGGCGCAGAGATGCGCCGGGAAAAGTCCTTAAGAATCGGCGTTCACATCGCCAACGCGGTCGTATGGGGACCAGTGTGCACACCTGCCGTCGTCGAAGCGCGCGCGATCGATCATCCATCGCGGGATCCACGACGTCCCGTCGTCGTCGTCGTCGCCGCCGCACGCCGTGACGCTCGCCTCGAACGCGTCGACGTCTTCGAGCGCGTCGAGGAACGGCGACGGCCAGCTCGCGTCGATGCCGTCGTTCGAGGCTTCCAGGTGACGCAGCGCGTCTTCGTCGAGCGGACCGATGCCGCCCTCGATGAGCTCGCGCAGCTCGGGGAGCGCGAACGCGAACCCTCCGCACGCGTCGACGTCGTCGCTGCTCTCTGCTGGGTCGCCTGCGAGAGCGAGAGAGAAGAGGTCATTCACGGCGAATGAATAACGGTTCGTTAGCGTGCGTTTTGCGTTTCTCTTCACTCTAGTAGCGCGCATCGCATCGCATCGCGTCGATCCTCGCGCGCGCTCGGGCGAGGCGCGCGGTGAGATGTCTTGTCATCACGAGATCCCGAAACCGTCGCGACGCGCGAACGGAGCGATCGCGCGCGGAGGACCGCGCACCGATGAAGAGCGCGTCGTTCGCGGCGGCGACCATGTCGTTCTTCGGGTCGAGGCGCGCGGGCGCGAGACGCGATGCGCGCGTGTCGTGTCGCGCGTGGGGAGCAGCGCGTCGGGGAGTGCCGCGGCGCGGGACGCGGCGCGCGAACCGACACCTAAAAGAGAACCGAACCGCCTGCGACAGGAACCGCCGGCGCGGCGCGCTTCAGTCCCGGATTCGACGTCTCATCAGGCGAGGTCTCTGAGACGCGGGAAGCGCCGACGCGAGGCACTCCCGGCGCGCGCGCGAGCGTCGGACGGGTCATGCGGCGTCTCGCGGTCGCCGCGCGGAGGCGCGGGGCGCGCAGGGTCGCCGCGGCGGCGGAGACGGCGCGATGGCGCGCGCTTCCGCGCGACGACGAGGTCGCGCTCGCGGAGGCGGCGTGGGGACGGGCGGAGACGGAGGCGCCGAGGAATTCGCACTCTTCGTCGTCGCGCGGATTCGCCGCGAGGACGTCGTCGTCGTCGGCGGCGGCGCCGTCGAAGACGACGACGACGATCGACGGCGTGCGCGTCACGACCGCGTACACGAAGGAGGACATTGACGCCGCGATCGCGGAGATGTTCCCGACGCGTGGCGGTGCGAAGAAGAGGCAGCCGCGCGCCCCGCGCTCGACGAACGACGACGACGACGACGACGATGATTTTGACGCATCATCGACGGTCGCGCGACTGCGCGAGCGGCTGAAAGCGGCGAAGCTGCCGTCGAGCGGACGCAAGGCTGACCTCGTGGCCAGGCTCAGGCTCGCGGCGGCCGAGCGCGAGCGCGCGGCGAGCGGCGTGAGCGGAAGCGGGGGCGGCCGGTCGTCGTTCGCGATCGTCGGTTTCGACGTCGAGGCGAGGCCGAACTTCACGAGCGGGCGCGTGAACCCGACGTCGCTCGTGCAGCTCTACGCGCGCGGGGACGGGGACGGGGACGGGGACGGGGAAAACGGCGGCGGGGAAATGCCGGGAAAACGCGTCCCCGCCGGTGGTTCGTGTCTTCTCGCGCACGTCCTCGCGGCGACGAAGGACGGCGACGCGGTCCTTCCCGCGTCGCTCCGAGACGCGTTGTCCGCCTCCTCCGCCTCCGCCTCGTCCGACGGCCACTTGGCGCCGTCCGATAGGTTGTTGTACTTCGTCGGCGCGGGCGTCGGACGCGATCTGGACGACCTCGCGAGGGACTACGACCTCGGAAGCGACGGCGTGCGTCGCGCGTCGTTCGTCGACGTGAACGTCGTCGCGTCGTTCTTCGGCGAGCCGCCGGGGCTGAGGCGCGTTCTGTTCCTCGCGCTGGTCCCCGTACGGCCGCGTTCGCGTCGTGAACTTCATTCCTTGAGGACTTTCTCTCCCGGCGTTCGTCACTCTCCGCGCGCCCCTCGGTTTTAATCCATCCCGACGCACCTCGACGCCTTTCAACTCCGCTTCTGACGCCTTTCGACTCCACCCCGACGTCGCTTTGAACGACGGACCGTCGACCCTCAGGAATCTCTCGGCGAGGTTTCCCCCGCCGACGCCGTCCAACGCCGGATCCGCGAACGCCGCGCCGTTAAAGAGCAAGACGACGCAGATGTCGGACTGGTCGCGCGCGCCGCTGAGCGACGCGCAGATCGCGTACGCGGCCCAGGACGCGATCCAATCGGAGGTGGTGCTCCGCGGGCTGCACGAGAGGTGGGGCGCGCCGTTGGGCGTCTCCGTCGAGGACTTTTGCGCGTTTTTCGCGGACGCGACGAGCGTCGGCGACCTCATCGCGAGCGACGCGAAGCTCCTCGCCCCGGGGTTCAACCCGTGCGCGGCGCTGACGATGTATCGCGCGCGGAACGTCCTGCGCCGGATCGGCAGTTTCTACATCGCGAGGTACGTGGCGAAAATGAACGCGCTCGACGACGACGACCCGGCGGATGCCGTCGTCAAAAAAACAACCGAGTGGGAGACCTTGAACAGGATCTGCTTCTTGTGGGGCGCGGATTTGAGCGTCCACGCCGCGACCGAAGTGAACGGCGGCATCGACGGCGGCGACGGCGGCGGCGGCGGCGACGACGACGACGACGACGACGACGACGCGCAGTCCCAGTTCGTCGCCGACGTGCGGATACACGGCAGGTCGCTCGCGCGAGCGAGAGGGAAAACGAAAAAGTCTGCGATTCGCGCCGCGACGTCGAGAGCGTTGGACGTCGTCCGCGCGGAGAAGGAAGGAAAGTGGTTCGACGCGCTCGAGGTCGCGGAGATCGGCGACGCCGCGCGAGAACTGAAGCTCTTCTCGGAAAAACGCCCGAGTAAGTCTACGAGGTTTACTCTGCTTAAGCTCGGCGTCCCGCACGCCACCGAGCGGCTGACCCCGAAGAAGTACGAGGGAATATCGCCGCACCGCGCTAACCGCGGCTCCTCTTCCTTCGCTTCGCGCGAAGAGGATCCGGGGTATCGGACGTGGAGGGAGAACATAGAGCGGATGCTACCTCCGGAGTACCGCTGACGGGGAGCGGCGTGGCGCATTGGTATTGGTATTTAGAAGATAGGCGACTTACGTAGACTAGACCAATCGATTCTGTCTGGTTCCAGTCAGTCAGACTGGGCGCGAGATCGTTTCGGCTCGTCCGAGAGCCGGTAGTGCACCGAGCGCGAGGCGGGGACCGCCAGATGCGACTCGCGCCGTCGTCCGCGCGCTCGCCCCCGCGTCCGCCGTCTTTTTCCGTCGATCGCGCGCGCCGCGCGCGCGCGTCGTCGTCGTCGTCGTCGTCGTCTCGCTTCATCTCTCCCGCGCGAAACCTCGGCGTCGTCGTCGTTCGCGCTTCGGAAGCGTCCGCGACGCCGGCGATGCCGCCCTCTACCCCCTCCTCCTCCTCCTCCTCCTCCGAGACGGTGAAGTCGTGGCGGGTGAACAAGACCGGCGCGCTCAGCGGCATGACCCTCGTCGAGGACGACGCCATCGCGCCGCCGGGCCCGGGGGAAGCGCGCGTCCACGTCAAAGCCATCGGCCTCAACTTCGCGGACGTCTTCAGGTGCGTTCGAGAGCTACAGACGTTTTTCACCCGCACCTCGGTTTCAACATTTGATCGTGTCCCCTTTCAACTGACCGATGAACATTTTTTGTCAGCGTGCTCGGTCTGTACCAGGCGACGCCGCCGACGCCGTTCGTCCCCGGCCTGGAGTGCTGCGGCGTCGTCACCGCGCTCGGGCCGCCGCGCGCGGATCTCCCGGAAGGGACGGTCGTCCCGGACTTGAAAGTCGGCGACTCCGTGATGTGCGTCACGCGGTTCGGCGCTTACGCCACGAAGGTCAACGCGCCGACGCATCAGACGCGGAAGCTCCCCGCGGGCTGGACGCACGAGCAGGGCGCGGCGTTCTTAGTCCAAGGCTTGACCGCGTACTACGCCCTGCGCGCGTTGGGTAACGTGCGGAAAGGGCACACGGTGTTAGTCCACAGCGCCGCGGGCGGGTGCGGGCTGTTCGGTCTCGGCATCTGCGAAGCCGTCGGCGCGCGCGCGGTGGCGACGGTTGGGTCCGCGAGCAAGAAGGAGATCATCTTAGGCGCGTCTGATGACTGGTCCCCATACGACCGCGTTCGCGCGGTGCACGCCGTTCCTTAAGGGCTTCACGTTTTCCGTCCGCGTGACGTTACTTCTCTCCGCCGAACCCACGGTTTCAACGCTCGCTCGACCGCGACGCCCGCCTTTCGACTCCGACCGACGCGCCTTCATACACTGGTCCCCATACGACCTCGTTCGCGTGGTGAACGCCGATCCTTAAGGACTTTTCCCGGCGCATCTCTCCGCCCACCCCTCGCTTTCAATCCCCGCCCTCGATGCCTTTCAACTCCACCTGACGCCTTTCAACTCCACCCCGACATTCAAACTCCGCCCCGAAATCGATCGATCGTCGTCGCAGCCCGGCATCCGACGATGCGCGAGGACGCCATCGTCGTCCGCGACCGGAGACGTTTCGGCGAGCAAGTCAAGGCTGCCGCGCTCGTCGCGAGCGGCGGCGTGAGCGACGAGTGCGACGTCGTGATGGACGCGGTCATGGGCGATTTCTTCAAGGGCGGGTGGGACAACCTCGCGAAGACGGGTCGGTACGTCGTCTACGGCGCCGCGGATCTGACCCCGGCGGGCGACTTGGGTTTAAGCGGTTGGGTCAAGCTCGCGTGGAAGTACGTCAGACGGCCGTTCGTGGACCCGATGAATCTCCCCGGGGTGAACAAGTCCGTGATGGGGTTTAACCTGATATGGATGTTCGATAAGATCGTGGAGCTCGGGGAGTTGCTCGCGGGGTTGGAGGCGTTGAAGTTGAAACCGCCGACGATCGGCCGCAGGTTTCGTTTCGACGAGCTCCCGACGGCGCTGCGGACGTTTCAAAGCGGCGGCACGACCGGGAAGGTGGTCGTGCTCGTGCCCGACGAAGAGGAGGAGGAGTGAGGAGGAGGAGGAGCGATGCGATGGACGCGCGAGGGTGTTCGTGGGGTGGATGACCGGGGGAGGTGCGGCCGCGCGCGGGCGGCGGCGGCGGCGGCGGCGCCAAAAGATGCGGACACGACGCGTGATGCTGATGAGACGAGTTCTGTTCGCTGAAGAACGTGTCTGGTTTCTTTTCGACCGACGACGAAAATATCTTCATCATTCCCGCCCGCGTCGTCGGCAGCGCTCTGCCTCGCGCGGACCCGCTCGCTCGCACTCGCGGAGGGCGTTGACGCGAACGCACGCGCTCGCGGAGGCGAGCAGCGCGCGGCACGCGCACCGCGCGCGAGCGAGCGCGCTCGTGGCATGTTCGATTTTTTCCGGCCGAAAGTTCGACGCTCGAAGGAGGAGATGACGGGCGACGGCGCGACGACGACGACGACGACGACGACGACCGCGCCCGCGCGCGAGCCATCGCGCGGTGGGGTGTCGTCCAAGCCCGCGCCCGGCGCGCCGCCGAACCGCGCGCCGCCGTTCGATAACAAGCGGCTCGCGGCGTGGGAGAAGCAGCGAGAGGCGTGGACGGCCGCGGGGCGAGCCGGGGGGTTGATGACGGAGGCGCGGCGACGCGACCGCGATCGACGGCCGGTGCTGAGCGCGGACGCGACGTACGACGACCTCCTGACGTCGTCGCGGCCGTTCTCCGCGCCGGTGCCGCTGCCGGAGATGGTGGAGTTCTTGCAGGAGGTTTGGGACGAGGAGGGGCTGTACGATTGAGCTTAGATACACTTAGATCGCGCGCGCGGGCGCGGGCGGCGGGGCGGAGCGGAGGCATGGCAATTGCCGACAACAGGCTGGCGATGGCGTTGCCAGCTCACGCGCGCGCGCTCGCGGACGAAACAACTTATTACTTCGACGCCTGCTAGCAATTTCGATGACTGACTAATACTACGACATCGGAGAACACCAATAACAACCGACTGATCGTCGACTACTAACTATCTTTGTGCGCGCTCATCCGCGCGTACCGCCCGCGGAACGACCCGCTGGGCTCGTCCCACGCGCGCCGCAACGCGTCGCAGTCGGCGTCGTCGGCGACGCCCGCGGGAATCTCGAATCCAATCTCGCACGACCGCGAGCCCGGGCCTCCGTCGCCGGGGCGGCAAAAGTGCGACTCCGCGCGAAGCGCTTTCGCCATCCGCGCGTCGAAACTGATCGCGTCCGTGCGTTTTTTGAACGTACAGAACGACGCGATCGCGGAGGAGACCACGAGGACGGGCTCTTTCGCGTCCCCGGCCGCGGCGACCCACTCGACGTCGGTGGGATACGCGTCGAGCGAGATCCTTCTCATCGCGTGATGAGCGCCGCGTGTCGTCACTCCCGCGACGCGCGGCACGCTCCCATTCCTCGCGTCCGCGTCGAGATTCAGCTCGACGAACGCGTGATTGGACGGATCGCGCATCGTGTCCGACACCCTGGAGTTATTCAGGAACGAATACTCGCGATGCGTCACCCCCGCGGCTTCCATATTCGGCAGGTTCATCACGTGATCGAGCGGGCACCGCGGAAACGGCGGCCTCGCGTCCGAGCCTTGGATGTAACACCCCGGGAGGACGTTCCCCCAGTACCGGTCGCACGCGCACGTCAACTCCGGCATGATCGGCGTCCGACGTAAAGCGACACCGATCGCGATGAGGTTGCGCATCGCGAGCCGGTACCACGCGGCGGCGGCGAGGTGATTCTCCACGCCCGCTGACGGTGTATTTATTGTGATCGATTTCGGGGTGATGGAATCGAAAGGCGTCAGGCGGAGTCGAAGGCGTCGAGGCGTGTCGGGATTGAAAGCGAGGGGTGATGGGCGGAGAGAGCAAAACGAAACGCGCGCGCGCGGGACCCAAAAGTAAAGTCCTCAAGGAACGGCACGCACGACGCGAACGCGGTCGTATGGGGACCGGCGCGAGTGATGAGAGGACGGACCCGACGCGAGCAACGCGCGCGGCGGCGCGTCCTCCGGCGACGCCATCACGAACCCTTCGCACCCCGGGACGTCCCTCCCCTCGTAGTACGCGTCGTCGTCGAGCGTCCAGAGCCCGTGCTCGCGCAGCCGCTGCCGCTTCCCTCGCGCCTGACTGAACTGATACGTCGTGTGCACCGCGAGGCACGTCCGCTTCGCGGCCGTTCCGTACGAGCGAACGTCGGGGTGGAGTTGAAAGGCGTCAGAAGCGGAGTTGAAAGGCGCCGAGGGCGGGGATTGAAAGGGAGGTGTGGGCGGAGAGAGACGCCGGGAAAAGTCCTTAAGGATCGGCGTTCACCACGCCAACGCGGTCGTATGGGAACCAGTGTATAGAACGCACCTTCGCGTCCCCGCCCCGCACGAAGAAGAAGTGCCCGCCGCAAAATCGAGACAGCGGCAGCGCGCCGACGACGACGCCTCTCGCCGCGGTCGCCGTCATCGGACCGGCCGCGATGGTCGCCGCGTCGTTCCCCGCGCCAGCGCCAACACCCCCCGTAACACCCCCTTCTCTAGTATTTCCGCCGCCGCTGCCGCCGCCCAGCGCAGCGTCCGCGCGCCTCCCCGTCCCCGGGCGAAGCGTCGTCGTCGAGCCGTCCGCCTCGGGGTCGAGGGTCCGTACGAGCGAACGTCAGGGTGGAGTTGAAAGGCGTCAGAAACGGAGTTGAAAGGCGTCGAGGTGTGTGCGTCGGGATTGAAAGCGAGGGGTGGGCGGAGAGAAACGACGGGAAGAAAAGTCCTTAAGGAACGGCGTTCACCACGCGAACGCGGTCGTATGGGGACCAGTGTGAGGAGAACGCACCTCGGTCCTAAGTAGCCGGTTGAAGACGTCCTGGTCGTGCTCGAACGCGTGCGTCGTCGCGCGTAACGCCTCACCCCACGCCGTTACAAACGCCATCGCGGTCTCCGTCGGGTTGACGTACATGATTCCCGTGTTGAACTGCATGTGCCAGCAGCCGCGGGTTTTCGCCTCGTCGATCGCGGAGAGGCAGTCGGTGCTGACGGCGATATCCGCCGCCGCCGCCGTCGCCGCGCCGTCCGTCGCGTCGAAGTACGACTCCGCCGGGTCTCGCAACCACACGACGTCCACGTCCGAGACGAGGACGCGCAGCCCTCGTTTCAGTAACGTCAATAAGAACTGCGTTTTTAGGGCGCCTATCTGTTGAAACGCCGTCGCGTTGAGCGTTACCGACGCGTTCGCGTCGTGCAACGGCGACCCCCCGGTGGCGACGACGCCGTGCGTGTATCGCAGCGAACGATGCGAGTAACACGCGATCGCGTGCCGCGCGCACGTCGCGTACGTCGCCTCGTCTAACGCCGCGACGACGACGTTTCGTATCCCGAGGCGTTTCACGTGCGCGTGCCAGTTCAGCATGAACTCGTGGAATCCGTCGGACACGAACGTCGCGTGCACGAGCTCGCGCGGGTCGAGCGATTCGAACGGATCGACCGCTCGCGATGGCGCGTCTTCTTCCGACGCGCCCCCCCGGTCGTCCCCGCGCGCGTCGTCGGCGACGCCGTCGGTCTCCTCCTCCCCCCCATCCCCCTCCTCCTTCGCCGCGTCGCCCGAGCGCGTCCCCGCGTCGTCCGCAGCGGCGAGCGGGCCCGCGACCTCGCGGTACCACCCCGTCGGCGTCGTCGTCGTCGTCGTCGTCGTCGTCGTCGTCGTCGTCGTCTCGGGCGGGCCCGAGTGCCACGACGCGTGCGACTCCGAGCCGTGCCACGCGCCGTCGTCGATCGCGCCGTCGTCGTCGTACGCCACGTACGAGCACCACGCGATCGACGCGAGGAGCAGCGCGAGGAGGGCGTTCGCCGACGCCGCGCGGAGACGGCGGCGAGGCGGCGGCTCGCGCATCTCGCGCGCGCGGCGCGACTGGCGCGGAGCGTCGATATCGTGTGATATCTTCTGTTCGTGTTCGGACACGACCCGATCCCGGTGCTCGCTCTCGCGGTCAATTCTCGCGTCGTCGCCGGCGCGGCCGCGCACTCCTCCTCGGCGCGAGCCGGCACGTCCTCGCGCGGGTTCGACCGCTCGACGCCCGCGACCGTCGCTCGAGAGACTCCCGTCTCGCGGGATCCGCGTCCGCGCGTCGCGCGCGCGGGGCGAACACCCCGCGCGTCCGAACGAGGCGACCGCGCGGCCCGCGCGGGTGTTGGTTGGACCTTTCGCGCTCGCTTCATCCCGCGAAAAAAGAGCCCTCGCGCGTCCTCCCTCGAGTCGACGCCGGCGGCGCGACCCCCGCCGCGAGAAGAGCGCCATGGAGCGGCAGAGCTCGCTGAACGCGCACCTCCCGGGGGACCTCCCTGGAGACGACTTCGCCGGGCACGTCGCGTCGATCGTGCAGAGCCCGAGCAGGGAGCCCCTCCCGGGCCTCGACCCGGTGACCGGCCGACGAACCTCGGACGATAACATGAACACCGCGTTCGACGACCTGCTCGCGGGGATCCCCGAGGGCGGCGGCGGCGAAGGAGGAGGAGGAGGAGGAGGCGGCGGCGTGATGCGCGGGCAGAGCGCGCTGGACCGGATGCCGTCCATCCCCGCGGACGCGGGGCGGTTCTTCGACGAGAAAGACCTCATGCAGCTAGACGGCATGCTCGATTTCGACGTGGACGCGGACGCTGCCGCTGGAGGGTTCTCGCACGGCGCCGGCGGAGGGAACGGGGGCGGGAACGCGCCGTCGTATCACACCGGCGGCACGAGCGGCGGAAATGGCGGCGGGTACACCAGCGGCGCGACGAGCGAAGGATCGCCCTCGCACGGCGGCGGCGGGTCGAGCGGGGGCCACGGCGGGGGGCACGGCGGCGGGTCGGAGGACTACGGCGACCTCGCGCACGGGCTGGACCCGAAAGATCCCAAGTACAAGCGGCGGATACAAAATCGCCTCGCGAGCGCGCGGTTCCGCGCCAAGGCGAAAGAACGCCAGACGGAGCTGGACCGCCTGAAGCACCAGGTGACGCAGCTTCGAAGGGAAAAGTTTGACCTCGAGTCGCAGTGCGCGCGCATGAACATCGCGATTCAGCGCGAGGGGGAGCGGCAGAGGACGTCCACCATGGCGTGGATCGTGGACCACTTTTGGCTGAGACGGAAAGTGCACTTCAAGACGCTCGCGAACTCGGTGCGGTGGATGGTGAAAGGGAACTACAAGCCCGGGATGACGGAGACGGTGTTGCGGGCGAAGGAAGCCGCGGACGCGCGGAGGAGGGAGGCGGGGGAGAGCGGTCCGTGCGCGCCCGAGGACGCCGCGGACGCGTCCAACGCGCGACCGAGCTCGAGCCCGGCGGGAGGGTGGCGAGACGCCGCCGCCGCCGCGAGCGGCGACGGCGACGGCGACGGGATGGACGTCGGTCGCGAGGGCGAGCCGCCGGAGTCGCCGAGGAGTTATCTGGGCGGGGTGTTAGATAAGCTCGACTCGTTCGTCCGACCGTGGAGTCGGTGACGAGCGAGGACCGATGAACGAGAGCCGAGGGTATCAACATCTCGTTTTCGTTTTAAGTGGACTATTTTCAAGACCCGCTCGCTCGGGTTCTCTTCTAGTAGCTCGGGCCCGCCCGCCTTCGCGCTCGCTCACGCGCTCACTTGCGAGATCGCGTGCGCGAGCACGGGCATCACGACGTCTAAATCGTCCCTCGCCGCGTGCGGCCGCCCCGGAAGATTAATCACCAAACACCGGTCGCGAACGCCCGCCGCGGACCGCGACAGCATCGCGTGCGGCACGCCTCTGTCCACCGCCGCGCGGTGCATCGCCTCGGGAATGCCGGGCGCCAGCTTGTGCAGCACGCTCGTCGTCGCCTCGGGCGTCACGTCGCGCGAAGACAACCCGGTCCCGCCCGTCGTCAGCACCAGGTTGCATCCGCTCGCGGCGAGAGTTTTGATAGCCGCCGCGATTTTCCTCGCGTCGTCGGGGACGACGACGCGCTGGTGCGAGAACAACGTGAACCCGTGCCCTCCCGGGTCTTTTGGCTCCGCGGCGGCGGCGGTCATCTGACACACGAGCGCGGGGCCCGTCACGTCCTCGTACTCGCCGTCGAACGCGCGGTCGCTGACGGTGACGACGCCTAATCGAACGGACGTCGGGACGCCCCCCGTCGCCGTCGACGTCGACGCGGTCGCAGCCGCCGCCGCCGCGAGCGCGTCCGCGGGTTCGCAGCACACGCTCGACGCGCCGCCTCTCGCCGCGAGAGGAGGAGGAGGAGGAGGACTCGCCGTCGGCGCGTTCGAGGTCGACGGCGTCGTCGTCGTCGTCGTCGTCGGAATCTTCTCGGACGGCGCGGCGGCGGCGGCGGCGGCGGGCGGAGGAGGATCCCTCAGCGCCGCCTCGTCGTGTTTCGCGTGCAGATGCTTGTTCTTCTCGAACGACTCCATCTGCGCGTCCGTCGCTTTCGTCTGATGCTTCTTCTTCCAGTCGCCGTACGGCTCGCCGTAGACGCGCTCGAGCGCGTCGTCGTATCGCATCGCGGCGTCGCCGTTCTTCCTCGCGCCGACGAGGTACCACTTCGCGAGGCAGTTCCTGCAGAACCCGGCGAGATTCATCTGGTCGATGTTGCTCACGTCCGCGCGCTCGCGCATGTGCGCGACGAGCGCGCGGAACGCGTACGCCTCGATCTTCTCCGTCGTTTGCGCGTCGACCATGGGTACGGTTGGCGGCGCGCGATGCGCGGCGTGCGTGGGTGGTGGAGGGCGCGCGGGCGCGAGAATGCGCCGCGAGGAAAACTTCCTCCGTTGGAACTTTTGCTGATGAGCGCGCAGCGAGAGCTGACTTGCGCTTGCCAGCTGTACACACTGAGTGCACTGCGCGACGCGCGAGAGCCCGCGCGCGTCATGGCGCACGCGAAACGCCGACGCGACGCGGACGCGCCGGACGCGCCGAGCGGGCGAACGCCGCGCGGGCAGGTCGTCGTCGTCGGCGCGCGCGGGGCCGGGAAGACCACGCTCGTGAACGCGCTCGTCGCGTCGCTCCTCGAGCTTCCTGCCCCGTCTTCTTCGAACGCGGCGCGCGCGGCGCCCCCTCCGCGGCTTCGCGCGGAGGAGACCTTGCGCGGGCGCGAGGACCGCGCGACGTTCCTCACCGCGACCGCGCGCGCCGCGCAGGAGGGCGGCGACGTCTACGTCCACCCGGACGGCCCGCGCGCGCAGGCGAACGTCCTCGCGCAGCCCTCGGGGGAGCTCCTGCCCGTCGCGAAGACGGTCGCGTCCGTCGTCGTGAAGCCCGCGCCGCGCGACGCCGCCTTCCTCGCGCGCGTGACGATCGCGTATCGCGAAGAGCAAGACATCGCTCGCGTCGTCACGCGCGGCCGGGAGGCGATGCGCATCGCGCGTATCCCGGACGTGGACGTGGACGTCGGGGCGGGGGGTCCGGACGACGGCGACGGCGAGTGTTCGAGCTCCGCGTCGCCCCGTCCGGCCGCCGCGGCGGGTCTCCGCGCGAGGGACGCCGCCGAGCTCGCGGCGATCCTCGGCTGCGACGACGCGAACGTCGCGGCGGCGTTAAAAGACAGGAGCAAGGCGTACCTCCCGTCGCGGTTCCGCGACCTCCTCGGCGCGACGAGGACGTGGACCGTGCGCGCCTACGACGGCGCCGCCGCCGCCGCCGCGGGAAAAAAAGAAAAAGCGTCCGCCGCCGGGCCCGAGCTCGCGCTCGCCGCCGCGTGCGACGCGACGCGCGCGTACCTCCATCGCGTCGCGCACGGGCCTTGGAGCCACTGGGGGTGCATCCAAGGCGACGTGATTGTCGAGCTGCCGCTGCCGGACGACTTCGAGATCGTGGACACGCCCGGCCTACCCCGCGGCGGCGGCGGCGGCGGCGGCGGCGGGTGGGCGCCGGGGGCGCACGCGCGAACGAGCGTCGCGCGAAGCCTTCGCTCGAACGTCATCGACTGCCTTCTGTGCGTCATGGACAGCGCCGCGGGACCTTCTCGCGACGCCGCGGCCGTGTTTGAGGACAGCAGGGTGTTCGACGCGATGGTGCGACGCGCGGACGGCGGCGCGCTCGCGCTCGCGTGGCCGTTGGATAATCCGTCGCTCGAGAAAGCCGCGAAAGCGCGCGGCGTCGAGAGGGACGCC